TTTGTTTCCAAAAGTCACACGCAATTGTTGTCTCTGACATTCTGCTTCTGCCCAGCGTACAACAGCTCCAAAAAGTCGACTTTCTCGAATACTGTGTCTCTTTCTAGAACTGCAGCGTGTCTATATCAATAAAGTCGACTTTCTCGAATACTGTGTCTCTTTCTAGAACTGCACAGAGTGTGTATATATCAACATCAGTAAACCCTTCTGCGCTTATTGCATCCACCATGTTTTTGTCTATTGTGCCTAGACAAAGACTAGCAAGCTGAGGTTCATCAAACAATCGAGCCTGAGTAAGAAGCGTAAAGGCATTATCTGCCCTAAAATGTTTGGTAAGAAATTCCACACAATGTGCTTCCAAGGCTGGGACTGCATATTTCTTGGCAGTATAAAGAGTGGTCATAACTTTCTGGGCCAATCTTAACTTCATCTGAATACAGAAATCTCAGCAGCGCCGGGAAGGCGGCGGGCTCCACGGCCGGCAGCTTGATCTCGGCCAACGTGGTGGCCGTGCCGGGAAGGCGGCGGGCTCCACGGCCGGCAGCTTGATCTCGGCCAACGTGGTGGCCGTGCCGCCGTTGAACATGGCATCGAAGACGGCGCCGCCCGTGGCCAGCACTAAGCGGTGGGCGGGGATGCCCTGCCCTTGCCCAGCACGAAGCGCACATCGCTCAGCAGCTCCGCGTTGAAGAGGAAGGCGAAGAGCTCCTTCAGTGACGCCTTGGTCTTCTGCCAGTTGTACAGCGGCTCCCGCTGTAGGGGGAGCAGGGGCCCCAGAGGCGACGGCGACCCCGAGAGGCCTGGCTCCGCCTCAGCCCCCGAGGCCTGCTCCCCTGGCGCAGCCGGCCCAACCGAAGCCATTCTCTAGCGGCGCAGCGCCCGCAGCTGAGGAGAGCGGTCCGGCCGCCCCGCGGCCATCGCCGAGGCCGCCTCCGCCGGCCAGCACCGCCTCCCTGCCTTCCGGGAAAAAGCCAAAATTCTATTTTAAGTGAACTTCACAGAATGAACATGACTTTACAGCTGCCTGATCCCTAGAAGTAGCAGCAACTCTCCCACTTCAGGTACTTTACACCTGTGAGTGTCCAATGTTGACCCCTTAGGCTTCCCCTTTAGCCACTCCACCGTTTCAGCCCAGATCCTCCACTTCCTCAGATGTGTGGCCTGCTCAGCGTTCCCTCTCTGGGATGGCCTCTGTCTGACCTCATGCATTCATTGTGTCATTCTTAGATTTGTAATCTGTTGTCACTCAAGAATCTCTACAGTCTAACAGGACAGCTATTAGTCCACATGGTGCCTTTGTACAAATGAGAAGAGGCATTTCCTCTCGAGGACACAGCCTGTGGGCCAAAGCTTGATATGTGGACATTGCCATTGTTCAGATTCAAAAAAGAAGCCCAGTGCCAGGATAGGATATACAGCTTCGTGAGTGGAGCACAGGCCATATTCTGTCCTCTCCTCTCTCCCTTATCACCAGGCTCCCTGGTGTAGTGCACGAGCTGCACAACCATACACAGCAACCCTAAGTCTACACAGGCTTCCTGAGCATCTCATGCCCATGACTTCCAAACCTGTATCTGTAGGCCAGATCGCCTCTGAACCTATAATAACCAAATGCAACTGACTTCTCTTGAAAGTTCCACAAGCTCCTCAAACTCAATCCAATACCCCGAGTCCAGTGGATCACCAGGTCCTCCCAAATACTCCCCTCCTCCATCGGAGGAGAATGTCCTGCAGGCCCAGAATCTCCTCCCTGGTTTACATTAATGGCCCCCAGCCAGTGATTCTGCTCTCAGTTTGCTTCCACACAACTGTCCAAGTGATCTTCCTACAGTGAAAACCTGATCTCATTGTTCGCCTGCTTAAAATACTTCAGTGGCTCTGCATGTCCAACAGAATAAAGCCAAACGCCTTGACAAAGCATTCAGTGCCCTTTATCATCTGGTCCGTGTCCCCTTCCAGCCCTATCTTCAGACACTGAATACCTGAGCCAGACTCAGCCACTTGCCTGTCCTCCCAAATACACAGAGGTCTTGCGTACATCTGGGCTAGAAGCATGCTATATGCCTGCTGAGAAATCATTCACCTCTCCCCAAACCACTGGCTGTCACCATAGTCCAAGTCTGCTCACTCCTGTTGGCTCATGAGGACTCCACTCCAGCACCACCGTTTCATACTAGAAGCCATCAAGTCAGTTCCGACTCATAGTGACCTTATGGACAACAGAATGAAACACTGCCCAATCCAGCACCATCTTCACAATCGTTATGCTTGAGCCCACTGTTGCAGCCACTGTGTCAATCCGTTTTGTTGAGGTCTTCTTCTTTTTCACTGACCCTCTACTTTGCCAAGCATGATGTGCTTCTTCAGGGATTGGTCCCTCCTGATAACATGTCCAAAGTATGTGAGATGAAGTCTTGCCATCCTTGCTTCTAATGAGCGTTTTGGCTGTACTTCTTTCAAGACAGATTTGTTTGTTCTTCTGGCAGTCCACGGTATATTCAACATTCTTCACCAGCACCGTAATTCAAAAGCATCAGCTCTTCTTCAGTCTTCCTTATTCATTGTCTAGTTTTCACATACTTACGAGGCAATTGAAAACACCATGGCTTGCGTTAGGCACACCTTAGTACGTAAAGTGACATCTTCCCTTTTAACACTTTAAAGAGGTCTTTTGCAGCAGATTTGCCCAATGCAATGCGTCATTTGATTTCTTGACTGATGCTTCCACAGGTGTTGATTGTGGATGCAAGTAAAATGAAATCCTTGACAACTTCAATCTTTTCTCCGTTTATGATGATATTGCTTACTGGTCCAGCTGTGAGGATTTTTGTTTTCTTTATGTTCAGGTGTAATCCATACTGAAGGCTGTGGTCTTTGATCTTTATCAGTAAGTGCTTCAAGTCCTCTTCACTTTCAGCAAGCAAGGTTGTGTCACCTGCATATCACAGGTTGTTAATGAGTCTTCCTCCAATCCTGATGCCGAGCTCTTCTTCATATAGTTGTTTCTCTGATTTTTGATCACCATACAGACTGAATAAATATGGTGAAAGGAAACAACCCTGATGCACACCTTTCCTAATTTCACGCTCTAGGCACTCCCTAACTTCCTATGTATCAGAGCACTCTTCATCTTGAGATGTAGTCACTGACTGCCTTGCCTGTCTCCACCAACCTGACCATGGACTCCTGAAAGACAGGGCCTGTGTCGTTCTTGTCTCTGTGGCCCCAGTCCCACCTTGCCATGACCTCCTTGGGTGGCCATGTGCACCCTCCCTGAGCACCAGAGTTTCTTCCTGTACAGTGGCCTTGGCAGTCCTCGAGGTCCTGCCCTGCCCACATATTCTGTGATTTCATCAGCCTAGACTTTTCACATGAGTAGCTGGACTCGACGCTTCGGCACGTCTCAAGCCTGGCAGAGCCCCCAATGTGGTGTCTTCCTCTCTCAGGCGCGTGACACACCAGCCACAGCTCAGATGTCTAAGACTGGGCCTCTTCAGCGTCTAAGACAGTCCTTTCTAGTGCTTTCTTCCTCCCACCTAAAAATATTTCCTGATCTAAACCACTTTCATCAATCTTCATACCACACCTAAAAGAACTGAAAGGGGGGTTCAGAAGCTCCGTATAACAGCACGAGGACTAGACAAGTCTTGCACTGCTTTGAGACAAAACATTGACTCTCATTCGAATATATTCTCCCATCCACAAGGCCTCTTCACTCCCAGCCTTTGTGGTCCAATCCCAGGCTTTGCCATCCCACAAATCTGCTCCGAGCATTCCAGGCCATCTTATCTCCCCCTCCCTCCCTGTCACGCTTGCTGCCTGCACTTGTTCTTGGCCTCCTGGCTGCATCATGCACTGGACACTAAGATTGCTTTGATGTTCACGTGTCTTCTCTGCCCAGTCAGACTGCGATCTCCATGAGGGAGAGGCTAATGTGGAGATGGCCTGTCACTGCAGGAGAGAAGTGGCTCTGTCATTTCAATAAGGAATGGGCAGTGAGGCACTGGGCTGTACTCACCAGGCTAGATGCTGTGACTTCGCTGCAAGAAACTCCCTTAGGGCTGATCAGGAAGTGGTCCTGCTCCTTGCTGACCCGCAACTGGAGGAAAGACACAGGCTCTCAGGGGCAAGGAGGGAGAGGGGTCATTTCCAAGGACGCTCTGCTTGAATCCTTTCTTTCCCTGATTCCACTGTGCCCAACTCTTCCTCCAAAGAACTCTTATCTCCCTCCCTACCCATGGGAGATGAAGAGGACTCCCCCCTTTATTTGGAGCTAGGGAAATGGAGCTACAAGAGGAATCTGAAAATGGTCAAGGGGAGCCCTAGAAATAGGATCTAGGAGTTCTTGGCTCCTCATCCAGAGAAGCATCCTCTGGACAGACTGTTTTAGGTGGCTACAGCAGTTAGAAACCTTGGAAGGGCTCAGTGCATTTTAGCCAAAGGCCATCAACAGTGCCATGGCCATTCCAAGGCTCAGGAGTTCTCCCTTTGAATTTTGTAGGTGCCCTCCCTCCCTCAGGATGCTCTCCTCACCGTGACGTAGGTGTCGCTCAGCTGGGCCCAGCCATAGATGTCCAGGAGTCGGTAGACACTGCTGATCTTGCACCGCATGAGTCGCTCCCCCTTGGCCAGGTTCAGGGAGTCAGCTGTGTGGAGGTCGTTGATGGGCGTCATCGTGGAAAAGTCTGCAAGTGGCAGGGCAAGGACAGTGCAGCTCTCAGGGTTAGGGGTTCCCATTGCCCTCCCCTTCCTTGCTCCAGTCCTCTCCAAATTCTCACTGGTACTACAACTACACAAGAGACTTTTCTAGGCAGGGAATTAAATATTCATTGGCTCTCAGGGCTGAGGAGAAAATCCACAGACTGAATATTTATGTCCAATAAAGTCCTCTGCTTATTAGGGTAAGAATGGCATTGCTTTTTCAAGGTCACAGAATGAAGCATTCTTAGACTGCTAAGCTTACCATAAATCCTAAAGGTGAAAACTGAATAAAAGCCAGAATAAATTTCTGAGCAGAAATATGGGTATATTTCATAAGTTAGTTTTAATGAAGAAGTTACTAATCATTACCCAAACCCGTTGCCATTGAGTCTATTCTGACTCACAGACACCCTACAGGACAGAGCAGAACTGCCCCATAGGGTTTCCAAGGAGCAGCTGGTGGATTTGAACTGCTGACCTTTTGGTTAGCAGCCAAGCTCTTAACCACTGCACCATCAGGTCTACTAATCATTAGACCTGCTATTATCATATCGTTTTAACTATACCATGTAAAATAGCTTTTCCTCTGATTTGGAAACAGGACAAATAGCCAGGTCAGTCAGGAAGTAAATCCTCAGCTTTTCTGTTAAGTCACAACTCCCAGAAGTCAGTGTGCCTGCAGTTGGCTGAAGGGCTTGAGGCCTCAGGCATGGCATGTCTTCTCCTATCTGAATATGCAGTCCATTGGTGATTTTATGGTTCTTTCTAGGAATTTTTGGTGGTATGGATGGAATATGGAAATGGGCTTAGGAGGTTGGAGAGTCTTGTCCTCATGGCACCCAGAGGTTCTAGGAGTTACGTCCAGTCTGTTCCATTAAACATGATGCCCACTGCCTGCTCACCTCAGGAAGGCAGAACAGGGCATCCAAGCCCTAACATTCTGATTACTCAGTGTCTAGGAACCAATAAAATAATCAATAGGAAAGGATTCTGGCTTAAAATGATTTCTGGCCAGGAGCCTCCCGATGCTGCCTCTCCCAGCTTCCCTCTAAAAACTTTAATGGGATTAAAATGCTCTTCGGAAGCTTTCACAATCCCAATAAACCCTGTTGCTACACAATGTGATGTATGTCCTGTATCAGGTTTGCCATTAGCTGAAAGGATGAGCTGTTCTGCAAATATGAGTGCAGATGGGTGCTGTTGGACTAACATCAAACAAGCAGAGCATGCCTCGAAAGACCCCACGTCAGCAGCATGCACCCAAAGCCCCTGTGCTGACCCATGTGATACACCCCCAGGGAGTGTGTCCAGTACATGTAGCTGACAGAGACAGCAGTGGTCCGAAGGCCTGGTTAGACTAGCAAGAAGAACAACAATGAAATTCCGAAGCCAAGGAATTCTAATTCAAGTTGACCAGTCTGGGATTCCCTCGTCCTTTCTGTGAGTTCCCAGGCAAGAGACTAGTCTCTTTGCTTCATCCCTGACAGCAGGAAGGGGGGGCACGCCAAAAGCATTAAGTCCCCCAGGCAAACAAGGCTGTTGTTGGGAGAGTCTTTAGGCCCACACTTCTTTGAACTCTTCTCTTGAAAATAATTATGGGGTCTCAGTGAGGGCCAGGAAGCCAGAATAGGTCTGAAAATACTCACTCCATTACATCTTCTGTGTCCTGTGTCAAAGAGAGTCCCCCTTCCCCAACCTGTGGAGTTTTAGCTATGAGAACTACCTCGCCCACAAGATTGGATGTGGGAGAAGAGAACACCAGGGCTCCACAGGAGTTATACCTCTCTGCTCTTATAGAGTCTTATTATAAAGAACACTTATTATGATCAGTCTCACAAAGTTAGGATGGCTGAGAGCCATACTTTCTCTGCATATGACTCAAAACAATTCAGTGATTTATTCAAAGTACCTAAGAAAACACAGAAAAAGATGAAAATTCACCAAATTCCTCTGTCAAAACCTTAGACTAATGCAAAAGAAAAAAACAAACACACAAAAACACCCCCCAGAACCCCTGAATTATAAAGTAAATGACAGAGAACAACAGTCTAAGGCTTGAACTCATGACATTTGGCACCTCCTCTTTCCACATCCCCTGACTCAGGAACTCTGCGTCTATGCCAATCAGATTTTTTTGGCATCTACTGTCTTCCTGGCAGATGCTGATCAGTGAGGCAATGGGAATACTGGTCAACCTACTTCTCTCCAAAGGAAGAATATAAGGACAGAGACATGAAAATTATGCGAGAGAATAGGATGGGTATGAGAGATGAAGACCAAAGAGCCAGCATACAGATAATCTGGACTGATATAACAGAAGAAAAATTTTCTGAACTGAAAAAACACATGGGTATATAAATTGTAAGAACTTACTGATTCCACAGGGGAAAAGCCCATAAAAAGAAACCTACAATTACATGCTTCCTGCCAACATTTCTGAAACACAAGGCTAAGGGGGGAAAATCTATGAGCATTAAAAACAAAAAGATTTGGTCACCTACAAAGGAACAAAAACTAAGGGACTCAGATTTCTCTGCTATAGCCACAGATGCTGGTAGACTAAACTATAGGAGATTTATAAGAGATGAACCTAAAATAAACTGATACCAAAAAAAGTTTAAAAAAAAAAAAAAAGGGATGATCAAAAGTATGTCAGGCAACTATAAACAAAAAAAAAAAAAAGAGGTTATAATAATGTTATCAAAGTAGAACTGGGCAAAACAATGTTCTCTTGGGCAAACAGGGAAATTTTATAGGCCACTTTATATGGATTAAAGACAGAATCCATAATAAAGATATAGCTATAAAGAATGCTTATGCTCTGAATAACATTTCACTGAGATACATAAAGCAAAAACTATCAAAAATACAAAGAGAAATTAACAGAAATCAAATATAGAGGGAGACCTAACACATTTCTCTTATTTTTTTACAAAATCAAAAGCTATAAATGAAGATATAGATCAAATATCGTACCCTAGAAATAGAGTCTCTGCTCATACATCATTTAAAAATTGTAATTGTGGCCCACACAAAAAATCTCAATAAATCCCCAACACAGAAATTAAATAGGCCACATTTCTAATCACAATGCAATAAAACTAGGCTTTATTAACACAATCTTTTTTAAAAAATACAAACTCAACCACTTGGAAGTGAAAAAAAATACTGCTGGATAGCTCTTAGAATGAAAATAAAACCAGAACAGTAGCTGCAAACTATCTAGAAATTAACAATAATGAAAATACTGTTTGTCAAATTTCCTAGGATGAAGCTAAAGGTATGTTTAAAGGGGAAAAAAATTACAGCCTTAAATGTCTTTATTACTAAAATAAATATGAAAATAAATCAAATCCCTTTTGTCCAGTTCTGGAAAGGAAATACAAAGAACAAAAGAAACCAAAGAAAAGTTATGAATTAACAAACATAAAGGCAAAAATTAATGAATTTTGAAAAACGAAACTTAGTAGAACCAATAAATAAATATAAGAATTGGCTTATGTGAGAAATTCTGTGGACAAACAAACATCTAGAAAGGCCAGTAAAGACAAGGTAGACGTACACAACATCGAGAGTAAGAAAGGGATGTCATCTCATCCACAGGAGAAATTCTAAATGATAAAAATATTATAAACCACTTTAATAATTTTTGAAAGTGGGTTATTTTGTAGGAAGTACAT